CCACCACCACCACCACTACCACTCCCACTACCACTGCCACTGCCACTGCCACTGCCACTACCACTACCACTACCACTACGACTACGACTACGACTACGACTACGACGACGACTACTGCGGCTTACAGCTACGCACTGTAGTGCTTGCTACTACGCCTACTGACTCCGGCCACCACTGCTTGTCACCAGCTTCGCCTTTATCCTCACGAGCTTCAGGATCCTCGACCTTCTTCTTCAAGCTTCAGGGACCGCCTGTGTCTACATCGCGGCCTATGTTAGCCTCCAGGCACATGTTTGGGTTTTAGGGCTTAGGGTGTGAGTGTATGATCAAGCTCCGCGGGTGCCCTGGGTGTGACCTTTGGCTGATTGGATAGCGCTCCGGATTGAAAAGCAGGGATTTTCTGAGCCAGGGCCCTCATAGAGGGTTGGGGGTTGGGGTTCCGCAGAGTTGGGTTTGGAACTTAGAATCTAAGGCGGTGGGCACCATATCCTGCATGATTTTGCGGGAGTTCTCTAGCATGACTGGTGAGATCGGTGTGATATTGCGCAGGTTCAGGGGTTGATGTGAATAGAGCACATGGAGATGCTTTCCAGCTTCTTTGCGTAGTTTGGGATTGCTCGTCGTTCGGTTAAGTTGGCATCGGGGAGGCCCGTAAACTCGAAAGACAATCTTCAAATACTTCAGCCGCTAGCCTAAGCAACATCGCAAAACTCTCCCATAGTTTGCCTGAAGGGCATGAGGATCATTTTCTTCTGAAATGTTCGGCTTCTACTCTACAGAAGGCGCATTCCCAGGTCTTCTGCGCGAGACGGACATCCTAGGAGCACAGGTGTCGACACAGGCCACGGCACCCCGAAGCCGTGCCACGCAGAGGAAGTCGAGAAGATGGTCTCTCGCAGTCGTCAGTCAATCATCGTCATCTTCAACGCCATTGTCGGGTTTAGGGCTCAGGGTTTTGTTTCTACCTTAATTACCGCTACCATCACAGCCGCGACCACCAGACGGTTATCCGTGTCACCGAGTGCACCAGTATCAAAGTCCCGATCTGCGAGAATCATCCCCAACCCTCAAACCTAAATCCCCAACCTCAAATCTCAAACCCTAAGCTCCAAGCAAGCCCGAAACCCGAAAGTCGAAACCCAATGGAACCAATGGAAGGATATGTACCAACTCTCGGCCGCCAGTGCGGCGCTGCCTCAGTGACCCGGCCTGAACTCCTCGTGGGCTTCCCCTGCGTTTTGGGGGGCTTTTTGGGGAGGTTGCTTTTGGGGCCTTTAGGGCTCTAGGGTTGTTTTTGGGGAGGTTCCTTTGATCAGGGTTTAGAGGCTTTAGGGGATGGCTCCTTTTCAGGGCCCTAGGGTTTATGGTCGACCTCTGGCCCACAAGACCTTCCAGTATATATAGAAGTTGTAACAGGGAACCCTGAGCCCTAAACCCTAAACGGGCTATCCGGCTACAGCTAATCGTCTGGCTGATGGCTTAGGCGTTTGGGCAAAGGGTTTGGGTTTATGACCAGGGGCCCGAGGTTGATTCTTCTTCTTCCTTTATATAGCATCATATAGTTATAGTCATAAATAAGCATATAATATCACATCATGAAATAGAACATAAGGTCATATTTTAGAGCTTTTTGTTGTGCTATGATCATACTATACAATATTATAGACATATTGTATTGTATAATACTCTTCTCGTGAGGTTTGGGCTTTTAAGGGCCCAGTGCTTCGGAGGTCATCTTGAGCTTCAGCAGCCAGTCGTTTGGACCCCTAAACCCCAACAAAACAGCTTGGGCAAGGCCCCTTCGTCTCTTTCAACTTAAGGTCTTAAGACAAGGACAGCCCTGTCTAGCAAGATCTGAGAACTTGTACATTTTTGTTATTTAGTATGATCAGTATTATCGTTATTGTTATTGTTATTATTGCTATGATTATTCTTACGGCCCTTGTGTTACTCCAGGTACACGGCCTATTCCGTGGCCTTGGCCTACGTCGTGAAGCTGGTGGGTCCTGTGTTGGTAGGGCGGCAGGCCTACGTGCAGTTTGCCTTCCTGATGAAGGCCCGGTTTAGGTGTCTAGGGTTTGGACTTATGGGGTTTAGGGTTTGGGATTTAAGGATAGGATTTTATGGGGTTTGAGGTTTAGGATTTAGGGTTAGGATTTGATGGCGTTAGCGTCTAAGGTCTGGCTAGATTCCACTAGCAGAAAGGGCTTTGGGGGCACAGTCGAATCAAAGCTTGAAGTGATTAGAATTATACAGTTGGCGAGATACAGCGCGATCAATTCGTGTAGGCTAGGTGAAAGGACTGCCTTGAATCCACATAGTAGTTCTCTAAATCAGGGTCCCTTTTAGAGTCCTTTTTATAAGGGGTGCCATACTATATTGGGGACCGCAGAGGGGACCCCTAATTTAGAGTCTACTTCTCCTGGCAAACAGTGGGTTCGGCATTGATGAAGCCATGACAGGGCAGCCCCACAACCAATACCCCCCAAAACAGCGACACCCTACACGTAAGGCCGCGCTTCGATTAGGCTTGTATGGTTTGGGGCTCGAAGATCGATGAGAATAACTGTTATAGGTCTAAATCCAGGTCATGGTGGCTCTCAGCGTAATCCTCGGAGCCATTTCGGCGCCCCTCGGACAACGCCTTTGCCAGATAGCTTCTGTGCGTCGTTCTTTGCTTTCGGAGGGTTTGGGGGAGCCTCTTGGCCTTAACTTCCGCGCAGCTAGGCAGGTCATAGGTCCGACAATCCCTGCACTACATCTTGTTTTGGTGAGAGACATGCTTTGTAGTGCCGAGACGCCTATCCCGGATCTGCACCTAAAGCCCTAAGCCCAAACTCCTAAACCCTGAAACCTGAAACCCCAAAGCCCCGAAGGTCCTCTGCCTGACTCCTAGAATTCCAAACATCAACTGACAGCCCCAAACGTTAGGCTCTCCCAAGCCTTACGGCGAAGCTCTCAGCCCCAAATCCAACCAAAAAGCCCTCAACTCCAAAGTGCTTGGTATAAAAAACCGCATTTGCAAGACGATGCAATTTTGAAGACGATGCATGGTTTTGTGTTTTAGGATTTGGGTTCAGGGAGTAGGGCAGTCTAGGGTTTATGACAGCTCGTTGTAGACTCCCAAGGCGCATTCCCCAAGCCTTGAATAGGGAGGAGGACAGCCGTGATCATCGAGACGAAAATTGGCGATGATGAAAAGATGTGGTTGGTATAGCCTTGGTGTGGGTAATGAAAGCTGGCCCAGTGCAAACAGGCTCCGCAAGAAAAGCAGAGGCTCACGACTCACCCCAAAAGCCTACAAAGCCCCAAACCTACTCAGGATCTTCATCCTTCCCAACCTTACCGAGCTTGCGGGCTACTACTCGCAGCAGGCCTGGATCAACATTTCTTAAGGAATGTTTGCTCGGTTGAAGGTTCGGGTTTCGGGAGTCTGAGGCTTCAAACTTAGGGTTAACAGCCTGGAGTTTACATGAAAGGGGTTGGGGTTTCCTGGAAGCTTCAAATATTGAAAAGCCTATAAACATAGGGGTCGGAATGCTTTGTGATACTATAGTCCTTAGTCCTTATATGCCGATAAGATCCCAAGGCTCCCATACAATACTGTTTTCACTCGCTCATTTAACCTGTGTGCATGGTGCACCATCTAGCCTACCACAAGCACATCGAATTGCACGAAGAAGCGCGCAACTACGTAGATGGCTGAATATGGCTGAGCCATTAGTTAAAGGCACACACACACACACGCACATAACCAGCGTTCAGAGCCCGGTTTTCTGGAGGCCTGCGAGTTCGCGAACACCCGGGAGTGCCTGGGCATCTATGCCGGCCTCTTTTCCTCGGGCCTGGGGAAGTACGACAGCACGATCTTCGACACTTTCCGGGCCTTTGGTTTCACGGTTTTCGCGACTTGCAGCTTGCAGTGCACTGGAACGGTAGCTCGGGGGCCGGAGGTTGCAGAGAGGTCTTTAGGGCATTGGGTTTTGGATCTTCGGTTTCAGTGAAGGGGAGGAAAAGGGCCCCCCGGTCACGTTAATGACGACCTTAGGCTCTGGGGCCCTCTGCTGGGTTAATATGATTTGAGGAAGACAGGCAGAGCTTGCTAGATAGACAATGGTAATGTACGAAATGGTGTCACGTGTATTCCGGTGGGCGCATGTCTGCGTGGACCTGTCTCAATTCGCCCACTTGTCTTGGTGTGAGCTGGTCGTTTTACTACGTGTCAAGAGAAAAATCAGACTTCTCTAGGTGACTTTGGTGACTTTCTGAGCTGAGATGTCTAGTTGTCAGCCGACTGTGGCAGGCAGACAAAGGGACGTCAAAACAACTTTTCAAAACCCTTAGATTCGTGATGCCTTGCGAGGCATCTTCAGCGTGGCAAAGGCGGGGCTCTATGCTTGCCAGGCCAGAATTTCATGAAACGAGAAGCCCTGACTGAATCGTGGTTGCTGGGGGGGTTCTTTGGGCGGGTCGTGTCGTGATAATCAAAGTGTTCAGGGTCCATATGGGGGTCGCTTGCTTCAGAAACCGCCATGTGCCTAAATTAAATCCTCGAGCATCCCCCCGGAGCGAACTCTTCCTGTGCGTTAAACTCCCACTGGATCAAAGCCAAACTCCTTCAGTCCAAAAAACCCTGATAAGCTACCTTACATAGGCCCCCCACATAAAACCTCACAAGAGAGGAGCCCCCGCCCCTGCAAATATCTTACCAAACTCCCCGCGCCCCTGCGCGCCCGCCAGGACTTCCGGTTCATGGCTAAGGCTTCTACGCTGGTTTTCCTGGTGATCTTCCTTCCTGCGCCTTCTTTGATGGGCTTAGGTTTAGGATTGTCGTTTTGGGGTTGAGGGAGCTCTAGGATGAGCTTAGTGGGGATGCCTAGAGTCCTAGAGTGGAGGGGCATAAGGGTGTCAGGGGTTTCGAGGAGTTGGGAGTCTGAGGCTTGCTGCTCTAGGGATCATGTTTGGAGCTGTTTTGGACTAGCTTTTTGGGTGGTCCGACTGTGCCCTACGGTTCTGCCTTTCTTCGTGCCAGGTCTTTTCGACCACCCGGCACCATAAACTTGGGGCCCGCCATAAACTCAACTGAGGTGCTGCTGGTGGCACGATTCTTCTTTGTGAGCGCGACGGCGCTGTACGTGGCTTCCGTGCTGCCCAGCTGGATACTGACTCTCGTGTTCCTCTGGCGCCTTCAAAGGAGCCTTGGTGCGCTTTTTTTCGCCAGAAATCCGCAACTTTAGAGTAAGTTAAGAGACATCTTGCAAGAGGAACAGATGTGTGGCGCCAGTCCTCAGCCACGAAGTCAAGTCAAGGAATTGCCAGAAGATGATGCAGCGGTCCAGCCTGCCCGGGAGGCATGAGGTGAGCATGGGCCAGATTTGATTGTCGTTTGCAGGAATGCACTCCATGTAGGGCATGTAGACTTTAGGGCCTTTAGGGCGCGAAGGAGCCCCCCATCTATCAACCCGTTCCGGGTTTGTGGGGGGGGGGGGGGGGGGCAGCATTAGGCCGTTCCTTTTGAAGCTGCCATGGCTAAACGCCGTTTCTGAGGCAGGGAATCAGTTCTGCCTCGTCCATGCTCTCATTCCGAATCGTGCTCTCGATCGAAATCGCAGCTCCTTCTTGGGTTGGGGGCTTTCCTTTTGCCTGAGAAGGATGTTCGCAACACCTCCTTGATGCGAATGGCAGTTCCAAAGGGCCTTGAAGTCGTTTCGGGTTCTGCACGATGCAACGCAGACTAGACATGGTGTGTTGCCCAGAATGCAATCGCCCGAACCCGAGAAGGAGTTTGCTGGAACAGCTGTCGAAGCTCCTGCTTGGGGATGCCGAGAAACAGAGTGCCATGCACTGCTTGCAGGGACTGTCGTCAGGTATGGGGCTCTTGTTGATGCTGGTCTGCTGTGTGCTGATGCTGATGATGGTGGAGATGAGGATGGTGACGGCAACATCGAAGTACCCAGACCCTAAGGCCGATCTGTGACGCCATGGGTGTCCCCTGTGCAAATTCAGCTGTCAGAATACTCGATCACTTAAGCTTAATTGTGTATGTGCAAGGGTTTTGTGTTTGGGCTCTCTGTTAGGGTCCCGCCTTTTCGGAACTCCTCCCTTCGCAACTTACATGCAGCCTCATGAACCGCGTGGATGAGCTGAGGCCGTGCTGCCAGTGACCGGGAAGACCCCCCGATTCTCCATCTTCGGCTGGCTGCTCGGGCTTAAGACGACGGCTTCCACCAGGGTTTTGATAGGGGTCCTAGGAGGGTGCTTCTACCCTCCCTATGCCCTAAACCTTAAACCCGGTATACCATTAACCCCAAGAGCGCTACATACCAAAGCCCCCAACAGCCGAGCAGGGACAGGGTGAAGGTGGCTTTCAGGTAGCATCTTGCCTTTTCTCGTTGAGTGGTGCCAATATAGGGGCCTTCATAATGAGAATGGGGGTCTGGTGGGTACTATGGTACAGCATGGCAGTATATTGAGTACAGAAATATACGTAGTATATTAAGGATCCCTACAGAACAGTATGAGTACTTCTTCCGGCCCCCTTTTTTACAGCGAAAACCTGAACTGTGTCCCGTTGTGTCCCGTTGTTCTTCCCTCACCAAGCTAACCTTTTCTGTCCACCAACCCCTAATATGGTCCCCCTTACGGTAACCCTTATATCATCAACCATGTATTAATCCTGCAGAAAACCCGTAAACCTTAAACCCAAACCCTACACCCTCTGCTCTTGGCGCATCGATGCGGAAAGTATAAGACACCCCTAGCCACTGACGTCGAGACCTCGAACATGGCAGAACCACTGTGCTGCTGTAAGGGCTTCGGATTTGGGGTCATGAGTTTTTTTTCGTCATAGGGGTCGGAATGATTAGTAATTATTGTAACACTGCCTCCGTATAGTCGCAGTCCCTATATAATGAGGGTACAACCTTACCCAACACTTGACTGATTAGTCAACCCCTTTACTGGGTAAGTTTACCGCCGCTGCCGAGGTTTCTACGGCCAGGACAGCTTGGGATTGCTCTGAGGGCCTTATCCGTAAAACCTGCCGCTTAACATCTGCCTTGTTGTCGCGATGGAGTGCTCCTACTTGTACCTCTCGTAACCTTACAAACTTGAAGTACCCTAAGCCTTGTTCCCTTATGTAATATGTAACCCTAAGCCCGAGCGGCCAAGCCATGATTTGTTCACACCCTACAAGTGGCATGTCTCGACGCTGTGTCTCTGGAAATCCCAGTTCCCGAAGCAATGAAGCTTGTCACACCGAAGTATTCAAACTTGGAAGTAGAGTTGTTCGTCCAGGGTATTCGGGCTCTATGCCAAAGAGGGTTTGCAGGTTCTTCTAGTGTCTCAAGCCGCTCCGATCCGAAGCCAAATCTAGACGAAGGTCCTTACTACACTGGCGAGGACCCCTTTGGATAGGGTTCCTCTCGTTTTATATGTGTGATGTTTGTAAATAACATATCGCATCGCGAGTGTTTCGAACCCCTATCTGGTAGCGACTGGATTTCCGGGTCCTAACGACTGGCACCTTATGCCAGATCTTTACAATAAAGATCCTACTTCTATTTAGTGGGTATCAAGACAACACTTTTTCCAGCCTTACTGTTTGTTCATATCCAACATCACCACAAGCATCAACACTCCAGATCAGCATCGTCATGGCCATCATTGCCGCCGTCGCCCCGGCTACCGCAGCCACTATCATGGGTGCAATGGCCCTCGTTTCACAGCGATCTTCTTGTCGCTATCGTCATTTGTCGAACCCCCACTGTCATTTAACCGGCATGGCTTGTGCCATGTTCATTGCCGATTCATAGGGGTCGAGCCAAAGCTAAAGCGGACCCACACCTGAGGGCTCTCAGAAGCAAGACCCGGCTCGTAAAGCCTTCATAAGCCTTCAAAGGATTCAATAGGCGGCCTCACGTCAAGCCGAAATACTAAGACCCAACATCCCAACCTAGAGGCCTAGACCTTAAGACCGTAAGACTTCGGAGAGGCAAGCTCTACAGCCTTGAAAGCGGCTGACTGACGACCGCACCTCTTAGCTCTACCCGCGTGTCCTGGCGGCTGTCGAACTCTGGAGGGGGAGGGAACATGCCGCAGCGCTGCCAGTGTGGTGCTTTGGTGAGTGAAAACAAGTCAAGCCACGTCATCAACCTGCACAACTATCTAGTAGCAAGCCGTCGACGACACCGCTGCTGGAGCTGCCGGAGCGGCCATTGCTCCATTTAGGTTGAACCCCTAGTTGCCGTAATTGTGTGAAGTTGTGCTTGCTGCTGCTACTCCTGCCTTCCATTCGTATTTACAGTGCTTTATTGGTGATGTGTTTCGCTGCTACTTTGGTACTGCCACTTACGCTAGTGCGATTATCGACGTCGATGACGACCTCTGCCATCATCACTACGATAACGGCGAGCACAACAAATACTACCACAGCAAAGACGATGACTACAACTGCTACCACTGCTGTTTCTGTCGAAGCTGTTCATACTACTACCGTCTTCTTCCCCTCCTCCTCCTCCTCCTCCTGCATTTTCTACTCCTCTGACTCCGCCTCCTGCATCTCTACCTCCTCCTCCTCCTCTTCTCCTCCTCCTCCATTATTTTCACTAAGTACCATTGCTTCTCCTGCTGCCGCGGCTACTGCTCTCAGCATGAAGGTGACGTCGTCTGCTCTACTCCTGCAGCTGCTAAGTGTCTGTCAGGATTTGTTATTGCATTCGTTCTGTAGTGCCATGCGCTGTCCGAGCGGACTGAAAGGTCGCACGATTTCGGCGGAACTGGCATGGACTCGGAGGCTTACGTCGCGAGGACCGGTGCCCTTGATAATAACACACTATATCATACCATATTGTAATCAGTTCTTTTACCTTGTATTAAAGTATGTTCAAGCATTTCTAAACAATAAAGCCCAAACTCCGTTCTTTTGCATAGAACCCAAATAGTGATATCAACAGCAGCAGTCATGATGTCAGGAATGATGTTACTACCACATTACTACCACACCACCTGCACCAGCACCAGCACCGGCACCGGCACCGGCACCGGCACCACCATCACCACCACCACCACCACCACTGCTACTAATACTGCTACTAATCATAATAGTAATAGCCATAACAACAATAACACTGTCAGCGACAGTAAGAAGTCATAGAAGCAATAATCGTTACATTATAGTATTGTGAACGGCTTCGGGTTTATTGTTGACCCGGGCCCAAACAGGTTCTTTTGTGAAAGTGCGAGCAGGGATGAGGACTCGTAGTTGCTAGCGCTAGCCAGAAAGAGGCTTTAGGGTGTAGGGTTTTGGAGTTAGGGTTTTGGGTTAAGGGTTGTGGAATTGGGGTTTTGGATGTTTTTAAGGGTTTTGGATTTTGGGCTCTGAAAGCCCGTGTCGTATAGGAGGACCACGTGGCTTGTCAAGAAGCACCCTGAACCCCTAGACCTGCACTCTAAACCCGAGAGCCCTACAATAGAACCTAGGAAGGAAGGAGGGTGGGAAAAAGCCTTAAAGCCTTTAAACCCTAAACCCCTAAATCCTAAACCCAGGCATGTCCGAGCGTGGGTGCTGAAACCCTAGTGGGGGTTTCCTGTGGCAGGATGCAGATCGCCAGGGCAGCGAAGCAGCGACCGCGAGCTGGAAAGACGCGCCTTGCTTTCAGCCTTGAGCTGTGGCTGGATCTCTGAGGGTTCAGGCTTTAGGGTGTCGTTCAAAGAAGGGATTTTCGCAAAAAGGGAATTCCAGAGGCCCTCACCCCAATTCTTCCAAAAAGTGTCAGCCTTGATTTATGTCAGGGGCCCTTTGAAGCAAACGGGGTTTACGAATCAGGGTCTGCATTGACCCCCACAGCTCTCTCATTTCTGCAAGGCCGCAAGAGATCCCCCATTACTTGTAGCCTCTGAAGCGCGAAGCCAAGCCCAACCCTCAACTCTAAGCCCCCGAATGAAGCCCTGAGCCCCAAAAGCTTCAGTCTAAACTCTGATCCTTGAGCATGTAGTACCCGCGAAACCCCAGACCCCAGAGGCCCAACAAGAAGACGCAACGAGTCTAGGCAGTCCTCTAAAGGCGGGACCCGCCCCTCCCTAAACCCTTGGAAAAAGCTGTGGGGAACCTCATGATCTCCCTCTTCAAGGGTTTAGGGTTGAGGGTTTAGGGGTTCAGGGTTTAGGATTTATGTGCTGCGACGGGACTTGGCCGGGCGAGCTCTAATCAAGCCTGTGTAAATTGGGCCCAGCCCTCGCACGGTTCAGTGCTTAGTGCAGCCTCAGCAGTTTAAGGTTCCCACGGATCTTGACATAGCGTTTAGGGTTCAGGGTTCAGGCTGATTGGATGGAGCCCCGGGATCAAAATAAAAAGGGTTCAGGGTTGCATGTGGCTTAGACACGAAGCTTCAAGGCTTCTCGCATCCTGCCGCAGCTGCTCGACCGAGATCGGAACCGCTCTCAATGGTTATTAACTACTTCCTTCTGGTGGAGACTCTTGTTTTAAGATCCAGACTGTTGTGATTACTCTACTTATTGCTCTTTGGGTTATGTAACCCAATCCAAGAGAACGTTCGCGATGCGACGTATCAGTTAGCAAGGCAAGGCAGGGGGCCAGACATCGCGAAAGGAGCTGCCGTGGGAGTTAGTCATGCTCCAGGTTCCCTCTTCTCCTTACGCGATCCCCCCCACCTTCCCCAGCTTGAAGCTGCAAGAAGCACACGTTAGCCTTGCAGGGTTCACCGAAGTTAGGGTTCAGGGTTTAACCTTAAACCCTAAACCCTGAACCCTATTGGGTTTAGGGTTTAGGGAACGGCAAACCCTAAAGTTGAAGCTCCCCTGTGGGAGTTCCGCTTCCTCTGCTCCTGTGGCCGAAGCCATGCCGAAGCAGCGACGGAAGTCACGACCTTGGCATTCCGCTGGACGGCGTAGGGCTTACAGCTCCAAGGGGGTAGGGTCGAGGAAATCGTGGGATTTTGTTGGGGATAGAATAGAATTTCTTTCGGTATCCCAAGCCGCTGGCCGGAGAAAACTTGACTGAAGGAAAGGCTGGATCCGGAGTTGCAGCTCGGGAGGTTAGGGTCATGCTGGGTTGAGAAGGCGTCACCACTTCTTAAAAGCTACTTATTCCGTCCAGGTCTTGCCCTACCGATTAAGTTGTTAGGATGTAGGGCTCGGATGGGCAGCTTCCTCGAAGCGACTAGAACCCAGCAGCCGAACGTTTACTGACGTGGAGATGCAAGATTCTCCCCATGGGCTCGCGTCCTTTTTGAGGCTTTAGGGTTTAGTTTAGGGTTTGGGGATCGACGACCGCCTGAAACCCATGAGCAAAGACTGAGATTGTTAGAAGTTTCGTTAGAAGTAGTCGGTCTGAGACACCACCCGAAACCCTCTTCTGGAGCGGCCGGAGCGGGGTTGTTCCGACATCTTGAATTCCGAGTGACCCAGGACGATGTGTACGATCTTCAAGCAGGAATCCCTTGCGACATGCGCCCTTCCAACCCAGGCTTTCTCTTGAGAGTTCTGACGCAGCCGTGTGGCTAGGTCTCTGAATGCCACTTACAAGCTGTAGGAATTCATACTATCTCTAAACGCTTAATACCCTTAACCTTTGCAGCCTAAAGCTTCCTATAGACCCTAAGCCTAAACCCTAAGGCCTACACCCTAAACTTGACTCAGGATCTGTTTCTGCCCGTGCCCTCCCAACACCGGCGAGGAGAGCGCCTCGCATGGGTTAGACTCAAAGCCGCGCAGAGACTCCAAAACCCCCTCATCAAGGAATATACCTTAAATCCTGTTTGTTCCTCTGATACTTTAACATACATTCATTAATTACGGGTCTGGCAGTATCTGGGAACACCAGAGGATTTAGAGTGCTTAAAGGGGTTCTGAGTGCATTAGAGAAGTTTCAGGAAGCGAAGTCTTCTGGTCGAGGGTGTAGGGGTTCTAGTCCATCGCGTTCACCATTTTCCACACTAGATCTGGTTTAGAATGACTGCGACGAGGTCAAGGATCGGGTGCAAGCGATTACAGTTCATGGTGCTTCTCACACAAGCTGCGACGATTGCTGCATCCGCTCTTGCATAATTGCTTGCCGCTGGAGGTTCAGACATACAGACTGAAATACAGGCTCCAAACAGCAGGACCTTGATCCAGTAATTATGACCCTTTTACGGAGGTAAAGAAAGCCCTCTGTGCTGACGGAACCGCACACTCCACAACGGTGGCCATTCGGGCTTTAGTTCTCTTCTTCTATAACAGCTGCCCTTGATGCCGACGGGTGTCGGGTGAAAACTGCTCTTGGCTGATTCCATGGAGGATGAGGAAATCACCGAGCCTGCACGAGTGGTGCAGATTGTCTCGGCTCAGCGCTCTCCGCTGCGGTAAGTAGACAAGACCGTTCCGTTGCTTGGGTGAGGATTAGATGGGAAGTCTTTGCCACACTCATACATTCCTGGCACGGATCTACATGAAGGGTTCTCGGAATCTATATGCTGCGCCTCTTTCAGACTTTTTTCGAAATTGGATCGACACGATAACCCATGAGGGAGAGTAAGGGCCATTCATCCGCGAGCTTTCGGAGTTTCAGTTTTGGTGGAGAGGCACGAGGGCGCCACCCACACCACAGGGGGGTGCGGATGCAAACCCTAAACCATAAACCCAACACCCATCACCACACCACAGGAGGGGGAAAGGGGGTCAAATAACCCAAACACCACAGGGGGACCATGCAGACGAGGGGGGTCCCTGTGAATGTTGACACGTGAGACAACAGTGACGACTCTCACGAGGATTTCAGGGTGTATACCATGGGGGGCGGCGGGATGCCATGGGAGGACTACCGACACCCGACACGGCACCCTTTACCTTCAACGTTCTAGCTAGGTGGCTAGGTGGGAGGCACACACGACAGAGACCCTCCCAACCGAAGGAGTCGTCCGCCTCCGACACGGACTCGGATAGTGGCTCAAGAAGCTCTTCCGACTCCTTCTCCTCCTGCGATGAGCCGGCCTCCCAGGTTTAGGGCCAGTTTAAGAGCTTCGGGTTCAGGCTTGTTCGGGGTTTAAGGGTCGAGTCGGGGCCTTACTCTTGGGGCCTCCCCGGCTCAAGGGTGCCTAAAAGCGGTCTGGGTGGGAGGGTTTCACAAGATTCGGGTTGTTTCTGGAGACCTGAAGCCTCAAGCCCGAAGTGCAACTCCAGTAAGCTAAGTTTCTCGAAGCCCTTCAATCCTAGCTCCTGCATCTCTTGCACATCCACCTTTCAACATCGTGAAGACCGCAAACAACCCAATGTTGCGAAAGACTGGGATTTACCGAAACCCGCCCAACCTCTCGCCCCGAGGCTTGACTTCTCTTTGGCCGTAGCCGCCTCCTCACCCCAACCGACGGGGCCCCAGGAGACCTCTGACAGCTTCCGGGGTGCTTGTGGCTTCGTTCGTCACAATGAGAAGACTGCTGGGACTAGCGCTTGCAGTTGCAGCAATGGTGATACCGACAACAGCAATCAGCATGCCAGCACGCTGCAGCTGTAGTTGTAGCCCTAGTGCAGATTGAGGTTTAGGATACCGTGAGGTGGTTGCCCAAACCCTAAGCCCTGAACGGGAAGTTCGCATTTTTGGTGGTGAAGGCCTTGGGAACTGACTGCCCAGAAGGATACGATGATTCTAGAATCCTGTAATGCTATACTACTATATGATTATTATTGAACTAATCATAATAATGACAATACTACTGCTATTATTATTATTATTATTACTACTACGAAGTGGGTTCAGAAAGTGTAAGGCGTATGCTGATTCAGGCTGGTGAGCACGTCTTAGGCATAGCTGCTGCTCTAATGTCAGCCTAGAGCCTTCTGACCTTCTTGCGCAACTTCCCTCGAATGAAAATCTTACTTCTTGGGGTTCGACATTGTGAAGGTGTCCTATATAACACTGCCATGTGGCATCCGTCTTTTGGGGGGTGCCTCGGCTTTCATTATGGAAGGCCTGCGCAAAGTCATCGGATTGCAGAGGCCTTGGCAGCTTTTGGCACAGAAGCAGTCCCAACCGCTCCTTCGACCTTTGCCCAACCACACCGCCATGGCTCGCCGACCGATCGTGGGTGGAAACTGGAAGTGCAACCCGGAGAGCATGGCCAAGCTGGCTGCCCGGCGGCAGCTGAGAGTTCGGTCCAGGGTTTCAGCTCAAGCTCTGAGAAATACTCCCAAGATGAGTTTGTAACTTCTGCTGTTGCCGCTCCTGCTACTACTGATGCTGTTGGTCGTTGGTCGTAGGTGGTTGCAGCTTCTCGGTTGTTGGTTGATTGCTATGATTGATTGCTATGACTGGTTTGGCTTGCTTTGGGTTCGGTTTGAGTTCATGTGTTCGGTATGATCTGATTTGATTGGTTGGTTGATTGGTTCATTGACTCACTGACTGTTTGATTTGTTTGGTATGAGTTGATTAGATTTAGATCGAACTTGCTGATTGCTTACTGGATGGATGGATGGATTGATTGATTGATGAATAATAGGGGTTTATAGACAACCGGATAATTGAATTGAGCCGAACAGGGTAATTGAGTTGAGTTGAGCTGAGCTCACTGATTGATTGAATGAGCCAAGCGAGCTCAATGGACCTGAACTGATTTGAAGTTGTAGTCGTACTAGTTGTTGTTGCTGTCGTTGTCGTGGTCGTCGCCGATGTCGGTCGTTGAGTGACTGATTGACTAGTGGATTGATTGGTCGATTGCTTGCTTGTTTGCTTGCTTGCTTCTTGCTTGATTGGTTGGTTGGTTAGTTGATGGATTGTTGTGTCGCTTTGTTGGTCCATTGCTGTTGCTGTTCGTTGTTGGTTGTTGGTTGTTGACGGTTGTTGTTTGATGGACTGGTTGCGTTGTTGTTGTCGTTGCTGTTGCTGTTGCCGTTGCTGTTGCTGTTGTTGCTGCTGCTGCTGCTGGTGTTATTGTTGTGGTTGACAACTGGCAGGGGTGTCACCCTGATCATACTGCCGTCCTCCGCCCCAACGCCATCCACGACATTAAACCTATCAACCCCCGAAGGAGCATGTTGTTATGCCCTCCAACCGTCCATCTGAAAGCTTTCAGGATGGCCTTGTGGAGAACATGCCATTCGGTCAGCATCTGGAGTTCTTTTGCGGGTAGCCCTGAGTAATAAAACAACTCTGTGGTTAAACGAAGCCACAGTGCACCGCAAAGCCGCAGCATCCCGAGAGTATCTGTCTGTCTGTCTCTCAATCTGTCTGCCGTTCTGTCTGTAATGCAATGCCATGCCATGCAATGCCATGAAATGCAAATGTAAATGCATGCATGGATGCATGTGGGGATGTTTTTTATGCATGTATGTATATATATAT